AGATAAGACCATATTAGTATATCAGGCAAAGACTTGTGATTTCACTTCCTGACTGCTGCGGAACGTTACATGTGATTGTATTCCCATTGGCTCAAGCATCGGAGTACTGCAGCATCTGGAATTGTACATGCCCGTATCAAAACTGGAATAACATTAGTTGCAAATATTTAACAGCCCAAATTAAGAAACAGGGGCTGGTGGCAATGCCTCCTTTTAAATGCAAATATCTAGAATGACGGAATTAACTCAAACCTGACTTCTCTGCAGCAGCTCCAGTCGTCTGGAATGCGTCGCTTCCTCTCTCACGGCACCGCACCTCGGCGTCGGTGTTGTCCTTCTGTGGGAAATCTGAAGACTTGTTTATTTCTAATGAAGGTTTTATTGGCTTAGATCGCCTACGTGTCAAACTTGTTTATTACTTCATCTATTCTCGCACAAACCTGCGAATGTCCTCATTAAGCTCAATTTGAGCGCGTTACGCATTTAGCAAAGGAATGAACGATTTCCGCGTTGCCATCCCCATCGCCTCTTCCTCCCCACCAACAACTTTCCTGACCCTTTGGTAGTCACTTTTCTGTTCCTCGCGTGGACTTTCCGTGTCAAAACCCTTCCTCCTTCTCGTGCCCAAAAAACAGACTTCCCACGCAGATGTGAGGCGCTATGACTGTAACAATAAAATGCGACGATGACGCACGTAGCACTCCTGAAAGCCAAGGTCGGCAAGCACACGGGTGTGGCACCATGATGACCGGAATCAGAATCAGAATCTTTGGACCGGAAGAATCCGATGAGCGGTGAAAGCTCTCTTTTGCTCACAGGTGACCACAACGGCTGTGTCCTCAAGCATCTTCTCTGTCGCCGGTCGGGTGGATGGCAGGGAGGGCCCCATGTCGCTCCGGGTGCCCGAACTTGATGTTGAATGCGTCCGTTGACTTCACTTCGGGGCGTCACGGTGTCTGGAGAGGTTTTCTGTTCGTTTTGTTTCATCGCAGGTGGTATTTGCGCACCCGGACACCAACAAGGCCCTGGACACGAGGTCCCGTCCAAGCAGGCTGATGACATCCTCGACTGCACTTGCGACGAGGGAGAGAGCCCCCCCCCCCACTGGGACATTTGGCCCGTGAATTGCAGGAGGTGGGAGATGGGGGGTGGGGGCATTCCACCATCGGTAGAGTTTGACTTCTATATTTGCGGGGGGTGGCAGGGGTTCGCTTTGTTCCCCTCACATTAGGAATTGCGGCTGTATAATTAATGTATTATTTTAAATGATAAGCCAACTGAAAATAAATTCATTAAGGTGCCCAGGTTTGGAGGGGCGTTGCCCCCGCTCCGTGCCCCCCCCCCCCCCCCACCGCAAACTCCGCCCGTGCATTCCACATTCCATGGCCTTGCCCCGGCTCTGCCCTTTGCTCTTAGAGGACCATTCCGTCACAGGTTGCGTAATTGCAGGCAACCGAGCACGGCTCTCCATGAGGGGACGGACAAACAAGGCTTTGGTCGTGACAAGCGAGCAATAGTTCCGCCACGGTTTGTTTTGACCCAGAGAAAAAGCCTTAACTGTGCCGAACGTGTCTGTGGGATGATAACTCACTGATGATGACTCATTACAGCCGGGGCTGGAAAATTGTTTAACTTGTTATGTTTTTTTTTAAGGTTCAGTGGACCGGTGACTTTAATTTTTTACGTTGGATCGAGAAAGGCAGTTTCGATGTAAAATCAAATAAAATTTTCAGCGTTTTTGTCTCGACGAACCTGAACTGTGCCGTGGCTCGTAAGCTTGTTCGAAGTTAATGAATAGTGAGGCTGGAGGCACTCGTTGGGAATGCATTCCTCTGTGCTCGCGTGTTCGGTGTCCTGTGAGAAAATCACCCGGAATGTGCCCGATCCCAGTCAGACATTGGAAGCTAAGCCAGGATTTGAGCCTGGATAGCGCTGGGTGAGTGAAGCACCGCGTGTGTGAACACGTGCGGTGAAAGAGCTACGTAGCTCAGTTGACCTTACCTGCTAAAAAAAAAAGTTTTTTTTTATTTTGAATGGAAGCCCGAATGCGGAGCGTGGACACGAGCTGGTGTCTGCGTCCGTGCCAACGATGCACAGCGCAATGGCCGTGCCAGTGGATAGACTCTCAAACCCATCCCGAACAAAAGATGGAAAGTCTTTTTGAGAGTCTCCTGGAATGCTCGAGAACATGCGTCCGTCCGCAGCACAGTGCTCCTCACATCAAGAGTCTGTTGTTTGCCAGCGACATCGATTTTAAAACGATAGACAAAGTAAGCAAGAAGCATAGTCGCCACGTGACAGCAAGCCACCCAAAACCAGCCTCACTTAAACTGTTGTTATTGTTTTACCAGGTAAGGGCCCACTGAGCGATGTAGCTCTTTTTTCAGAAGCGACCTGGTCACAAATGATAGCTCAACCACGTGGCTTATCGCGTGGACCTTTCTAGCAGAAAAATACTCTAAAACGCATGTTGATTCCAAATGTGGAGGGGAAACCGGAGGACCCAGAGAGAACAATGCACGTGACCACGGGGAAAGCACGCCGACTCCAAATATGTAGCAGGCATCAGGGTCGGGATCCAACGCATGACCTCCTGTACTCACAAGTGAACACTGGACAATGATGCTTCTGAACATTGTTGTTAGTTCCATTAAATAAATTCTAATTCTAATATTTTACAGCACGTTTGCCAATCCATTGCTGAATGAAGGCCTCCCCCATACCGTTTCAGTCATTGGGGATTGTTTGACGATACTTTACTCTGCTAACCAGTGTGGGCTGGTAAAGGTATGGAGAATAAAGGTTGAAACATAGAAGTAGAGTACAGCAATTTATGTTGGTGCACTGCCCTCTTCTGCTACTGCCCACCACGTAGCCCCGCTGCCCTATGGCAACCTATGTGTGTATCGTGGCCACCGTGGGCTGGTTGAGATATCACCCGCCACTCATGTTAGCTGTGGCCAGGAATCAAACTCAAGTTGCTGGGTTTCATCGTGCAGTTCACCAACTAGCAGGGCACTGCTCCAGCCCGTGTAATTAAGCACGTGTATTGCACGTGTTGACCGCAGGGATCGTATCAAGTTGTTTCTATGTAGACATTTGGATATCATACCGGAGAGCATATTTTGCACAGTTCACTAGTTATAATCCCACAGCCACCCAGGAATGCACTGGGATGTTACTGGAGGCATCCACTTTGCTGTAGTGTCGGCACTGCATCTTGAGATGGACTGGTATTTAGACTATCTACGAATCAACATTTGTACTGAATTACACATTGTTCACAATAACACCCCAATATTATGGATTGCCATGATTTTTGGGAATGAAATTGTCCAAAAGAGATCCACGTTTATAAAATTATCCACGACGGCAAAGGGATAGCGACGAAGCGTCTTTTGTGGCAAAGTTTAGACGACGCGGGGAACAGCAGGGGCCGTCTGCAGGTTTGTTTTAGAGCCCTAAAACAAAACAGTGTGCAGTGCCTACCCCCGGCGCCACGACGCTCTGTTGGCATTGCTGAAACGTGCGACACAGAAGAGATGACTGTGGCAAGAACTGACGCGAATATCTACTTGGGCACGATTTTTATTTTTATATCTATGTAGAGCCCCGGGTATGAAGCGCAAGCAATGAAAAGTTAAGGGAGGGGGGGGGGGCACAGAAATTCTGCGGGCAGAAGCCCTAAACGCCGTGTTCACACGGGTCTGGGGACAGGGCGAGAAAGGGGCCCCGCCACCCCACTCACGCAGGGACTACTCACGTATGGACTACTTGCGTAGGAACTACTTGCATGGGGACTGTGATCAAGAACGCGGACTCTTTTTTATAAGGGGAAGGGATGGCAAGGGAGAAGGAGCAAGAGTGAGGAGAAACAAGTCTAGAGGGTTACTTGGGCACTCGTTGAAGTCAAACAAGGATGTGTCATGGTGCCTTGAGACATTTTCTGAAAGTGTGCCTTACAAATGCAAATCATTGTGATGGTTGTGAACCTAACCACGCAGGCTTTCGCAAACCAACATTGAAAACGAATTTATTTAGAATGCTCTTTGCGATTAGTTTGTTGTCTTGAAGACGGAAGCTTGTGTTGCCTCCGAAACGTCGTGATTTTTATTTTATTTAAATTTATTTTACTTTTTTAATGTTTTACCTACGTGACTTTACCGAAAAAATCTAAGAATATAAATAGTTTGTTGTCCTTCCCCTTACCCGGCCCCGCACCTCCGATAATCACGGTTGGCTACGTACGGTGCGAAAGAAGTTCAACATACATACGTACACACACATTGTGATTGGTAATAATGTTTGTGTGTGTTGGAACTGCGGAATGGTTTGGCCAGGCTGTTGTGGTGAGCCCCTTCACTCCCCCGACACGTGGTGCGAATGTCAAGCGGACAGCGTCGAAGGTCAGCAATATTCTTGCCCGACAAGACAAACGTGAACGATTTATTCCATCGATTTCCATTCGCTAGCGGAGACAACAGAGTGCACAGGGAGGGATGCAGTCTGTTCTCCTACAACGCGTGTAGTTTTCAAAACGCGAATTGGATATCACGCAATGAATGCATTGGGGAACACATTTTTTATAACGCGATTGAGTGAATGACTACATCGCGCGAGTAGGACTAAACGGCCGTACAGCTGCCTCGGTGTAGCATCGCACAAGGCAGGGGGATGCTGCTGGATGCTTCTAGATGCTACCCACGGGCCTCAGTCTTTGTGTCGGCCTGCATACGCATCTCACGTGTTATCGCGGACTGTGCTTTACCCTATATTATACATTATAAGGCAATTTTTCCATAACGCTGGTAGTTCTTCAGGAACACAACTACTTCGTTGTAGGAGAACAGACTTCATGTGCAATGAGAAAGAGATCCTGTCAGACAGAGACAAAGCAGAGGACATTCGAATTAACAGAGACTATGAGAAAAGCACATTCACATTTAGCTGTAAATGTCAACTTCAAACTCACATTTGTGAGCGTGCATTTTGGGGCTTACCTCTGAAAAGCATTTGTTGTTCGTTTTGGGTTTAATGGTTCCAATCTCAGCATAACTGTAAAGCAACACAGACAGAAATTGTTAATTAACTCATCAGCCAGAATTACTTAGTGCAATGTCAATTTATACCATTACACTGTAGCGAACAGCTAATGCACACAAACGGACCCTTTTGTCAATCCACTGCTGGATGAGGGCCTCCCCATACCTCCCCATACCTCCCCATACCTCCCATACCTTATGAGTCATGGGAGCTATTTGACAATACTTCACTGGGCTGGTCAGTGTGGGTGGGTAAAGACATGGAGAATAAAGTGGAAACATAGAAGTACAGTGCAGCAATAGATGTTGGTGCACTGCCCTCTCCCGCTGCTGCCCACCACGTAGCCCCGCTGCCCTATGGCAACCTATGTGTGTATCGTGGCCACCGTGAGCTGGTTGAGATATCACCCGCCACTCATGTTAGCTGTGGCCAGGAATCAAACTCAAGTTGCTGGGTTTCCTCGTGCAGTTCACCAACTAGCAGGGCACCGCTCCAGCCCGTGAAATTAAACACGTGTATTGCACGTGTTGACCTCAGTTTACGTATCACCACTAAGTAGGCCCACAGCCCTATGGCATAGTAGCGAGATGTTAACTACCTCGCCTGGTATACAAGTCGTCGTTTCGATACCGACCTTGACGCATATATATTTGGAGTTTGCATGTTCTCCCAGTGGTAGCGTGGATATTTCTCCGGGTCCTCTGGGTTTTCCCTCCACATTTATAAATACGCCTTTAGATTATTTGGCTGCTATTAATTGCCACGTAATAAGCCACTTCGTTGAGATAACATTTGTGGCCAGGTAGCTTCTAATAAAGAGCTGTATAACTCAGTGGGCCTTACCTGGTAAAACTAAAGATAGATAGATGGTTGGGTGTGTGCATGGTGCTCGCATTTCCGAACACTTTCCAGCTCAATTCTACTTAGCTTCTGAGAACTGATGACATCAGTGCAATATTTGGTCATAGGCTGCAAAGCTACTATGTTTAATTTTTTAAAAAATATGTACGGTTCAATTATTTATCGCAAGGTTATACTGCACTGTGCTGTTGCATAAAACACGCAATATTCAACAACAGTTTAGGAAGAATACGATGAGCACGAATGGGAATGTATATTTAATGCCCTCGCATATCAACTTTTTTTTACTTTAGGCTTCACAGAAGTGTTTGCTGTGGGGAATTACGATGAATCTTGTATCCTCGCCAGTAATACGACGGATCGTGAGTTACGGTTCAATAACGAAAGGCACTACTTTAATCCATGTGTTGATCCCCTGCTCGACTGAGGGGGCTTCCAAAGCCGTGCCACCCGAGGAGGTTGTTTGACCATACTTCAATACTGGAAAAAGAGGAGGCCCCCGAACCGGTTCAGACATCGTTCATCACTGATGTTAGCTGTGGATGGGAATCAAACTCAGGTCCCCCTGGTTCATGGCACTGTATGCTAACCACTGCTCCACCGTTCCACTGCTCTGCCCTGATGCAATGTTGCTGATGCAATAAGCACGTAACCCGCTCAGGGTTTCAATCTCCACTCCGTGGATTCGTTAATAATCATGCGTATACGACTGCGCAAAGTGCTGGTCCGTTCCCAATAAACTTGATACCAATCGTATTACGGCTGAAGGTTCTCACCTTGTCACTTATAGGGTCACCTGTGTCGGTGAGTCCGCACCAAAAGCAGTGCCACATCATCATCGGGGAACAACTGATTTTTGTGTTTAGTTTGTTGTCCTTCCACCGCACCTCCGATGAGCATGTTAGGCTCCGTACGGTGCGAAAGAAGTTCAACATACATACTGGCCATAGAATAACACTGCCCATCGAACAACACTACCCATAGACTAACACTACCCATAGACTCAACATTGAACCTCCGATTAGCACGGTTGGTTATGTACGGTGCGAAAGAAGTTCATTATACGGTACATGTGTAGAGGTGATACGCGCTGGGATTAAGGATCGTATGCACAGTGCGTGATGATTGGCTGTGTAGGTGGTGACGCGCGCTGACGGTGGAGGATCAGGGGTCAGCGCGGGGTCGTGGGTTACGGGGTACCGATTGGCTGTGGGCGGTGACGCGCTGAGAGGGAGTGATCAGGTGGCAGCGCAGTGTGATTGGTGGAGTAATGTTAACACGCGCTGGGGAAAGCGGATCGTAGAGAGAGTGCGTCGTGATTGGGTCATTAAGGAACGACGCTCACGTCGACGCCGCATCAGCTCCGTCCCTCGTGAGCAGGGGCTATAAAAGGGGATGCACACAGGCGTAAGGGCAGTGTGTAACCAGCGAAGAAGGAAGACGGGGATGAAGACCTAGAGCCCTGCGGTACCTAGCCCCGCTGTCCTAAGGGGACCGGGACTCTGTGTAACCCAGAGGCGAGTGTAGTGGGTGTAGCCATAGGTCTACACGAGCCGAATGTACTATGTGTAGCCAGGGCATAGGGCTTACACGAGTCGAGTGTATTGTGTAGCCAGAGGCATAGGGCTTACACGAGTCGAGTATATTGTGTGTAGCCAGAGGCATAGGGTCTACACGAGTCAAGTGTATCGGGTGTAGCCAGAGGCCTAGAGCTTACACGAGATTAGTGGAGTGTGTCGGAGGAAGAAGAGAGACCACACGTTGTATTGTGATACCTAAAGGATTTAATAAAAGTGTGTTACCCGTCAAGAAGTTCCTGCCGTCAATTCCCATACTTCAACTGGCGTCAGAAGTGAAACGGTCCTCCAAGCATGGATACAAGGAGGAACCGTCGGACCCACGGGATTGACCACGAGGACAACCTCGACGACGCGGGCCAGCGGGCATCAGGGGGTGAGGAAGAGGAGCTGCCCACGGGGCAGGATCCACCGACGGCGCCGGTCGAGCGACGGGGGACTGACACCGTGCTTCGCGAGGCACACTCCCGTCTGGCGGAGCTGCTGCTCGCCGCCGCGTCCATCTTGGCGGAGATCAGCTCGTCGGGAGGAGCGGGGACGGCGGCCGACGTGCTACAGGGTCGCCCTGCAGATTCCCGCCAAAACGATTTGGCGATTCCCGCCATTTCATCCGCTCCAACTTTTGGCGGGAACGGCCATCACCACGTGGCAGCGGTTCTCCATGCGCGGCCGCTGACGTCACCAACGCGCGCGGCGGACCGCCATCACACACCCGCCACTGGGGCCGCCATCTTACACACCGACGGGGGGGCAGAGAGGAAGCACGAGGAGGAGGACGACTTTATCTTTCAGCAGCGCCTTCCCACGTTGTCAGCATTCAAGGCGGAAGGCGGGGATTGGAGCCAATTTCAGCGCAGATTTTTGGCGCATCAAGAGATGTCCGCCTGGTCCGACGCTACGGCACTGCGGGCACTGCCTGCCATGCTGGACGACAACGCGCTCGCGGCCTTCACGTCCGCACGCAGGTCGGACCGCTCCACGCTCAAGGATGCGCTGGCTCTCATGGCCAAAGTCTACGGTCCTCCCTCGGCGTGCCGCCATCATTTCTACGCAAGACGGAAGGCGGACACGGAGACCGTGCTCGCCTACCGCACGGCGTTGCTCGCTCTCGCTGACGCCGCGTTCCCTCGTATGGACGAGGAGGGCCAAGATGCGATGGTTTTGGAGCAGCTGCTCAAGTTGGCGCAGGACCTGGGGGTCCCCATCAACACGGCCGACGACACCGATATTTCTTCATTACGGGTCGCCACGAGCATGCAAGCGCACGAGGTCCTTCAACGAAAGCAGGGGGTCGTCTGCAACGCTGCCGTGGCCTCAACTCCGGGTCCGGTTGACACCGTGCCCCAAGTCGTCAGCCCACGAGAGGACGCGTTCATCGCGGGACGAGCGGGGGACTGGAGGTCGGGGGGTCGTTCGCCTCTGCGAGCGGCCCGCAAGCTGGAGCAACCGAGATCTCCGACTACTGTCATCACCTGCTATAACTGCGGCCTTCGTGGCCACGTGGCCTCCGGTTGCCGCGCCCCACGTCAGCGCGCCATGGGACCTCGGCTGGACGACGACCAAGGCCCCAAGTCATCACTGCAAACCCCGGCAAGTCGCGGCACCTCACATGCTTGGCCCGCATACTCGACACGTATGGGTCGTCGCGTTGCGACGAGGGAGAGCCGAGTAGAGTTCGGGGATTCGGTTCGGAGAGGGGGGTTCGGCCGGGACCGGGGAGACATTAAATGGTCGGAATTGGGGCACAGAATAGTGGCTGCCTCAGCGGGTTCATCCGTCGTTACCGGATCGATTGATGGGGTCGAGGTCAGGGTGTTAGTGGACACGGGGGCATCGGCGACTATTATTTCGGATCTCATTTATAATATTCTCCCGGTACAATGTCGTCCGCTTCTTCCGGTGGATGTGCCATTTTACGCCGCTAACGGGGGATCGTTGGGCATTATCGGTCAGATTAGGGCGTCCATTTGCATTGGTGATATCAAATTGTCGGGACCCGTTTTCGTTTCATCTTCCCTGGCGGTTCCTTGCCTATTGGGCACTGATTTTTTGGCGAAAATGCCCATCAAAATTCTCATTGATCAGCGTTGCATTGAACTACCATCGGGTCGCCGTATTTCATTTTTGACGAGCCCTAATGTAATTCGGACGGCGTGCGCTACCATTCAGGCGTTAGCAACACAGACCGTGCACGTGCCCCCGGGTTCACAAATGTTGATTCCCCTCCGGTTACGGAAGCCATGGGGGAAGGAGGCCTCGGAACAGGCCATGCTTTTGGGTCCTTCTAATAGGGCTGTTGGAGGTCTCGATTTATCGGTGGCTCACACTTTGGTTGGGGCAGACAGGGATCCGTTTGTCATGGTTTTAAACGCTGGGGCGCGGCCGGCCGTCATTCAGCAGGGCACCGTGCTGGCTCACGCGGCACGGGTCCCTGCGGAGGAGAGGCTGGTTGCGCAGGCTGATCCGAGCCCCACGAATAGCGTACCATCAAAGGAGGACCTAGATTGGATTGATATGCTGTGCGCGGACTCTGACGATTTGTCAGCGCTACAGTTGGGTGCGTTGCGCGGGTTG